AACAAAAAAAAACAAGATTAAAAATAATAATATATTATATATATATATAATTTTTTAATTTATATTATTTATTATTATTATTATTTTAATTATTATCTATTAAAAATGAGTTTTTGCAATAAAGCGTGAATTTGGCCACTAACGTGGGCGTCATCGTATAACATGTGCATCTTTGTCGCAATGAGAATATCACGGCGAAAAAACTTTCGTGTACCGAAAAGATTAAATATTTTTTTTTAATAATATTTTGACTTAAGTAAATTCTGTAAAATTATTGTGTTCTGTAAAATTAAAATGTAAATTTAGAAAAAGTATAGTTAGGTTGTAAAAATGTTAAATAATTAATGTTATTTAAATACCACATGTAATTTTAGATACCATGATTTAATAGAAACATCATCCCATCTATGCGTAATAGGAATATAAACTTGTTAATAAAATTGTGTCTATAGATCATTTATATCAAAGGATTCCTATTCCTTTATATTTTCATCGTAGCATTTAAGAATAAATGATCTATATCTCTAATTTAATATTTATTATTACACAGGTAACGAGAATATAGAATTATTTGATCCTATAAGGAGGGAGAGGGTCACTGTAATATCGAATGAAATGAAAACTTCGATACTTTGGGCTAGTTTTATTAATTCAATTAACAACGCGTTTATAATACTCTTCGTCTCTTCCTCTTATTTATAATTATATAATTTTAATGAACCGTTATTGTTTTCTTTAGACCCGTCGTCACATCTTAACATGACTCACCCACGTTCACGGACACGCACACTATAGAAGCACGCAGGATCATCACGATTATTATCTTAAATCATCATTGTCCTTATCGTCGTCGTATTCTTTATATCATCGCCATCGTAATTATAATCGTCATCAGTTTACCATCACCGTTTCGTATTCGTCGCGTAATTTTCATTTATCACCATCCACCAATAATTATCATCGTAACAGTCATCGGTTAGATTATCACTTAACGCACCTAGTATTTTAACTGGATATGGCAGCTACAACTTATAAGAAGTGTATTACAAAATCACTTTTAACGATTCGTTCTCCTCGCGCGCTCCGACGATTATTATTTTTTCTTTTTTTTTCGTTTATTCATTTAATATTCTTTTGTTGCTCTTCTTTGTGTCTCCCCATGCATGCAAAACACTATCATACCGACGGGCTAATTAAGTAAATCTAACTTTTCTTGTTTTCTCTCTTCTTGCTCTTTTTCTCCATTCTTTTTCTCTCTCACGCGACGAATCCATTGACGTTTAAATAATAAGACGCCGCGTACATATATGTTTTTATTCACATATGTACGATCCTTCGAGATCTGTTTCGTTAAACACCTTCGACAATTTCTCGTGCGTAGACTACTTAAAAAATTGTTTTAAACGTTAAAACTTCCTCATCGTCTTCTTTCTTTCTTCCTAAACAACATCGAAGTACCTGAGAGGATTGGATTTCGACTTATTTTTTTTTTTTTTTTTTTAATAAATAACATGATCGATCCATCGAATCTTTTTCCTTTAGAAACGATACAATCTGTGAGTAATATTATACGAGCGTAATTCTATTAAAAATTGCTACGTATACGCCAGTTATATTATTCGTATTTATATTAGGGTTGGTCGATTTATTTTCTATCCGATAAGAGTGCAACCCCTCCCTTCCTTCTTCCCCAGTTTAGCTCGAAATGAATAATAAACAATTATCCTCAAATTTCAATTCTCCTGTCTGTATATTAATAAAGCGTGTCTTAAAAAAGGATACACACACTTATTTATATTTTAAATAACATTAAGATTTTAAATACTTTGAAATATTATTTTATAGAAAAAGTAATGGAAATGAAACAAATTTGATTCCTGTATACAAAATGTTCATATTCATTCGGGGTGCATTTTACGCTTTTAATATTCTCTTAGATCTAATAACAATATTTTTCATATCAATAAACATCGATGGAATTTTGGTTTAAAATCAGATCAGCAATACATATTACGGATTGAGATTTTAATCGTATCGCTAAAAGTTTCCTGATTTAACCAAAAGAATAACAAATTCGATTCTTATATTCGAAACAAAATATTCCGAATGTACATTGAATTTGTATAGGAATAAAATAATATATCACTTTGCGTTTTTTCAATCCTCTCGATGTTTACCGATATGAGATATCGTATCGTGATCAAAAATAAAAGAAGAAAATGTTTAAGATAAAGGATTGTAATTCGAAGAGTGATTTATCTTTTTATTTATTTCCAGCTGAATAATTAGAGGGGAAATTCACTCATCAGATACAAAATAACACGACTACCCTAATGTATATTTTAGGAAGAACGTAGGAAAACGAGCGTATGTGCGTATATTTTATCGAGATCATAAAACACAATCACGAGTACTTTAACGTCGAACGTATTCGAAACAGAGTCGCGCGTGATTTTAAATATTTATTCCCTTTTCTTTTTTTTTTTTTTTTTTTTTTTTTTTTTTCTTTTTTTTTTTTATAATTTTTTTTTCAGCAATACTCCTCTTTCTAACTTTATTTTTTTTAAATAACGACGTTCTCTTCGTTGTCGCGGATAATAAGATGACCGCGCGTTTTCGTCGCTTCCTCGACATCGATTTTATTTTTCCATATGTATTTATGTATATATGTGTGGTACGTATGTATGCATGTATGTATAAGAGTTTGCGAATCGCATATTTTCTATTTCTCTCCTAATATTTCGTATTAATTAGTTTACACAAGTCATTTAAATCGCTTGCAATTGAATTTCACTTATAAATCCTTGTCCCTCGTGAAACGTGTGTCCTGTGTAGATGTGTGTTTGTGTGTATGTATGTGTATGCGATATCGATGGGGTAATAGTAATACGAACGTGTTATTTTTTTTTTTTAGTTACATACGTGCGCATTATTTTTTAGCGTGTTTCGCGTGTATTCGTTTATGCGTGTATGTATGTGTAAGAGAGGGGAGAGAGATAGAAAGAAAGAGAGAGAAAAAGAGAGAGAGTGAGAGAGAAAGAGAGAGCGTGTGTGATCAGTAGCGTGTTAATTTTTTTTTTTTTTTTTTTTTTTTTTTTTTTTATAAATATCTTATAGTTAAGATGCGCCACCGCCTTCTTGTTCGCTTTAAACATCCTTCGATCGTGCGCTTTTTTGTACGAGGGGTGTTAACGAGAATATAACCAAGAAAATACATCTTGCGATCGACTAGTGTATGTGTATTTGTGTGTGTATGCGTCTACGTGGCTGTTGTTGTTCTTCTTCTTGGGTGTTCGACCTAACGCCTTTGTTAGTTTTCTTCATTTGATTTAGCGAGGGTAAAACGATCGGCAAGGGTGATTCATTGGATACGAACGAAGCGTGAGTACAAGAGGGGGAGTTTTGAACGAACGAACAAACGAACGGAAGTGGATTGTTCGTCGTGTCTGCAAGGCTTCTGCAAGGAAAAAAAAAAAAAAAAAAAAAAAAAAGAAAATAGGTGGTAAAACAGGGTTTGACAGGGTCTGAAACGGGTTCAGGAATAACTAGTAAAAGCTCGAACGTCGCGGAAGGAAAAAGTATGGAGCGAGATGAGAAAGGAAAGAAGCAGCATCAGCATCAGCAGTAGCAGCAGCAGAGTAGTGCCACCACGCGTTTTATATTTTCTTTCTGTCCTTCGTGAATAATCTTTTGTTTTTTTTTTTTCCTTTTCTATTCTTTTTGTTGGCGAAAGAGGCCTATACGCGTTTAAGATATTGGAAATATAGATAACTAGAGGAAACCGATCAAGTTTAATCGATCTACTGCTTAAACACTATTTGGTAAAACGATCGATTTTGAATCAAGGAGATGATTCATCGATTTATTTTTTCTTCTTCTTCATCTTCTTCTTCTTCTTTTATAAGTTACCTTTTTTTTTTTTCTTCTTCTTTATTTCTTTCTTTCTTTCTTATTATTTTTCGTTCTGTTATCTTTTAAGGATTGTACGAACGGAACGCTTATTTTATTATAAAGACGTATTTCTTAGACGAGAATTCTCGTATTTTTTTAGTCTGCCCGAATGCGTTCCCCTTTCCTTCTTCCACAATTTTCTATATTTCTTTTTTTTTTTTTTTTTTTTTTTTTTTTTTTTTTTTTTTTTTCTTTATTCGTTAATGATTATCTTAAAGAAAAGGAAGATAGTGCTGCGACAGTCAGCAAATACGAGCCGGCCAAATCGATTAACAGAGATCATTTTGTCGATATTTTTAATAGTCTGTAATCTCATCGTTAATACATTGGACCGATAAGACGTTTTATATTTAGTTCATCTTGTTAATAGTAGTATTCCGTGCTTTTTTTTTTTATTCTTCTTCTTCTTTTTTTTTTAATTCTTTTTTTATTCCCTTTTTGTTTTTTATTTATTTTGTAGTCTTCTTTGGTACCCGTAAAGAGGTCCTCGTTTGATAATAAGTTTGTCTTTTCCGCATTGACGCCGTGCGAAGAGAAATATGTGAATTAGTGAGATAGAGAAAGGAATGAAAGTAGAGAAAAAAAGTGGAAAGGGATGGGGAAAGGAATAGAGCGAATGGAGAGGTGGAAGAGAAGACAGAAGAGAGAGAGAGAGAGAGAGAGAGAGAGAAAGAAAGAAAAAGATAGAAATATGTATGCAAAAAGGTATTAGAGAAATGGTTTGCGGAGGAGTCACGTTAGTTCCGAAGGATATAATAATTCCTTCGACCGAATTAAATTTATTAGCGAGTTCGCGAATCGGTGTAGGCTTTTCGCATATATCGCGAATAATATTTTAAAAGATTTACGGGGGCGTGAGAGGGAGGGAGGGAGGGAGGTGTAGGGAGGAGTGGATAAGGG